TCGAGGCTCCTGCGGTGGATGAGTGGTTTCTGCGCTCGGAGGAGACGTGGGCCACGTCCATCTGCAGCGGGCCATCCGCAGGCAGAAGGCGAGCGCCGACCTCCACCGCAGTGAGGGCCCAGTCTACGCCCCGGGAGATCGAGTCTGGCTCTCGACTCGAAACCTGCCCCTTCGCCTGCCCTACCGGAAGCTTGGTCTGCGGTTTGTAGGGCCATTTAAAGTCCTGAGGAGATTGAATGAGGTGTGTTACAGGTTGCAACTGCCTAATGACTATCGCATTAACCCCTCATTCCATGTGTCTCTCCTCAGGCCGGTGGTAGCTGGTCCACTCCAGGAGAGTGAGATAAGAGAGACCCCTCCACCCCCACTGGACATCGAGGGGGCCCCGGCGTACTCAGTCCGGTCCATCATGGATTCGAGACGTCGGATGGGGGGGTCTACAATATCTCGTGGAGTGGGAGGGGTACGGTCCGGAGGAACGGTGCTGGGTGCCTAGGAGGGACATTCTAGATCAGGGGTGTCAAACTCATTTTAGCTCAGGGGCCACATGGAGGAAAATCTATTCCCAAGTGGGCCGGACCGGAAAAATCATGGTATATATAACTTAAAAACAACAACTTCAGATTGTTTTCTTTGTTTTAATACGATCAACATACAACATAAAGTTGGAGCCTGAGGACAGTGTGTCCAAAATAGTACAAGCACAACATCACTATTAATCATAAAACACGTCAAGTTTATTTGAAAATTCTAAAGAAAAAGAACACACAAACACACAATGCCTCAGTGATTAACAGAACTGTTTCACAGATCACAGAACTATATCAGGGTGTCATTTCTCAGGCAGAAATGTAGATAAAAATAATGAAATCCTGTTCCCCAAACAAGTGCAAGAACCACAGAGTCAAGAATAGGTTAAATATACAAATAAAATAAAATCAATTAAAAACAATAGCACATCAACATAAAAACATATAAACATAAAGCTGGAGCCTGAGGACAGTGTCCAAAAGCACAACATCACTATTAATCATAAAACACCTCAAGTTATTTGAAAGTTCTGAGGACAAAGAACACAAACACACAATGCCTCAGTGATTAACAGAACTGTTTCACAGATCACAGAACTATATCAGGGTGTCATTTCTCAGGCAGAAATGTAGATAAAAATAATGAAATCCTGTTCCCCAAACAAGTGCAAGAACCACAGAGTCAAGAATAGGTTAAATATACAAATAAAATAAAAACAATTAAAAACAATAGCACATCAACATAAAAACACATAAACATAAAGCTGGAGCCTGAGGACATCACTATTAATCATAAAACACCTCAAGTTATTTGAAAGTTCTGAGGACAAAGAACACACAAACACACAATGCCTCAGTGATTCACAGAAGTATATCACAGATCACAGAACTATATCAGGGTGTCATTTCTCAGGCAGAAATGTAGATAAAAATAATGAAATCCTGTTCCCCAAACAAGTGCAAGAACCAGAGTCAAGAATAGGTTAAATATACAAATCAAATCAAATCAATTAAAAACAATAGCACATCAACATAAAAACATATAAACATAAATCTGAAAGCGTTGCTCAAACTCCCGTAACAGTCCCGTTATTTTATCTTTGAACCGCTTCATGTCTGCTACATGTTGGGTCGCGCACACATTTTTCAGACAGGGGAAGTGAGCTGCATCACCACCGGCAAGTTGCGTCTCCCACAATGACAGCTTCAACTTGAAAGAACGTATGCTGTCATAATACTGCGTGACAACTTTGTTGCGCCCTTGCAGCTGTTTGTTCAAGTTATTCAGGTGCTCTGTAACATCCACCATAAATGCAAGGTCCGGCATCCATTCTGCAGAATGAAATTCTAACTCCGGTTTGCCCTTTTCTTCCATCAATTGCAACCGAAAACGCAATAAATGACTTTACTTTTTGCTTCAACTGGCTGTCCAAATCCACTGAAAGATCGGAAATCCTGTCTGCAACTGTGTTTCTTGTCAGGCTGATATTTGCAAAAGCCTGCCGCTTTTCAGGGCACACAATCTCCGCTGCCTTCATCATGCATGTTTTTACAAATTCACCCTCACTAAATGGTTTTGAAGCCACTGCGATTTCATTAGCAATGAGGTAGCTAGCTTTCACTGCAGCGTCACTGATGTCTCGGCTGTGAGTAAACACAGACTGCTGTTTCTTCAGACCCGCCAACAGTTCATTCACCTTCTCTCATCTCCGCTGTCCTTGAAAGTTGTCATATTTGTCGGCATGAAGACTCACATAGTGGCGACGAAGGTTATATTCTTTCAGCACTGCAACATGCTCTGAACACACCAAACATACAGCTTTCCCATTCAATTCCATGATTAAATAGGATGACCATTTTTCTTGGAACACTCTGCACTCTGCGTCCACTTTTCTCTTTTTTGACAGAGACATATTGGGGCAATGAGGGTGCCAAAGCACATAATGTTAAAAGTAGAAGCCGTAATAAATATTGCGGGCAAAACAAAGTAGCTCATTGGCTGCACGTGCTTGACCTACTTGCTCTGCCCCGGTATAAACAGTTTGCTTGCTTAACACAATTGCTATTGCGCCATCCAGTGGACGCAATTGGAACAGCAGTTTATTTTATTGAAAAATTGCAGCGCATTTTTATACTTGACAAAAATTATTATTATTATTATTATTATTTTATTTTTTTAATCATCTTGCGGGCCGGATTAAACCCGTTTGCGGGCCTGATCCACCACTGCATCCACATCCGAACTCTGACAGAGAGACAGTTTCATCATAGTGCTTGATGGTTTTTGCGATTGCACTTGAATAAACTTTCTAGGTTCTTGAAATGTTCCGTATTGACTGACCTTCATGTCTTAAAGTAATGATGAACTGTCATTTCTCTTTGCTTATTTAAGCTGTTCTTGCCATAACATGGACTTGGTCTTTTACCAAATTGGGCTATCTTCTGTATACCCCCCTACCTTGTCACAACACAACTGATTGGCTCAAATGCATTAAGAAGGAAAACAATTCCACAAGTTAACTTTTAAGAAGGTACACCTGTTAACTGAAATGCATTCCAGGTGACTACCACATGAAGCTGGTTGAGAGAATGCCAAGAGTGTGCAAAGCTGTCATCAAGGCAAAGGGTGGCAACTTTGAAGAATCTCAAATATAAAATATATTTTGATTTGTTTAGCACTTTTTTGGTTACTACAAGATTCCATATGTGTTATTTCATAGTTTTGATGTCTTCACTATTATTTTACAGCGTAGAAAATAGTAAAAATAAAGAAAAACCCTTGAATGAGTAGGTGTTCTAAAACTTTTGACCGGTAGTGTAGATCTGTACCAGTACAGAGGGATAAACCAATAACATTTACATTTAAGTCATTTAGCAGACACTCTTATCCAGAGCGACTTACAACCTCTCCCTCAACGTGACCAAGACAAAGGAGATGATTGTGGACTACAGGAAAAAAAAGAGGACTGAGCACGCCCCCATTCTCATCGACGGGGCTGTAGTGGAACAGGTTGAGAGCTTCAAGTTCCTTGGTGTCCACATCACCAACGAACTATCATGGTCCAAACACACCAAGACAGTCGTGAAGAGGGCACGACAAAGCCTATTCCCCCTCAGGAGACTGAAAAGATTTGGCATGGGTCCTCAGATCCTCAAAAAATTCTACAGCTGCACCATCGAGAGCATCCTGACTGGTTGCATCACCGCCTGGTATGACAACTGCTTGGCCTCCGACCGCAAGGCACTACAGAGGGTAGTGTGTACGGCCCAGTACATCACTGGGGCCAAGCTTCCTGCCATCCAGGACCTCTATACCAGGCGGTGTCAGAGGAAGGCCCTCAAAATTGTCAAAGACTCCAGCCACCCTAGTCATAGACTGTTCTCTCTGCTACCGCACGGCAAGCGGTACCGGAGTGCCAAGTCTAGGTCCAAAATACTTCTCAACAGCTTCTACCCCCAAGCCATAAGACTCCTGAACAGCTAATCATGGCTACTCGGACTATTTGCACTGCCCCCCACCCCATCCTTTTTACGCTGCTGCTACTCTGTTAATTATTTATGCATAGTCACTTTAACTCTACCCACATGTACATATTACTCCAACTACCTCAACTAGCCGGTGCCCCCGCACATTGACTCTGCACCGGTACCCCCCTGTATATATAGCCTCCCTACTGTTATTTTATTTTACTTCTGCTCTTTTTTTTCTCAACACTTTTTTTGTTGTTGTTTTATTTTTACTTTTTTTGTTAAAAATAAATGCACTGTTGGTTAAGGGCTGTAAGTAAGCATTTCACTGTGATGTCTGCACCTGTCTGCACCTGTTGATTTGATTTGAAATTGGTGCATATATGTTTCAGTAAGATTGGCTTTTGGGCTTTTATAGCAATGGTTATCAACTGTACTGCAGGGATGTAACGTAAGTCGCAGAAAATAGAGGTTGTGGTGACAGCTGCAGAGAGGTATTTGGGTGTGCGAGACTTGACATCAGAAGAGTTACAGGGTGTGTTAAGTGGTGGTGTCCCATTCTTTCAGGCTAGTGGCCTGAAGTAGGACTAAATAGATAGTGGAGTATGGTGTTTATTATTATTATAAAAAACATTTTGTGAGTATAGTGTTAGATGGTAGGGTGTCTGAATAAAAATAAAATAAAAAGTAAAGTAAAGTATAAGGGAGTTATACTCCAGTTTAGTAGGTGGCAGTAATGCAACATTTATTGGAAGCCTACCGCCGTTAAACCTTATCGAAGTAGAAGAAGCAGAATTAGTCATGTGACTGCCCACCTCAGTCATATGACCGCGGTGTTTAGGGTTTCGGTGAGAAGGAAGTGTGCAAGCGATTGTGCAAGCGATTGTGGCTTTTTGCTCTACAGTTTAGCAAAGTTTGGCTCTGATGCCACAGTATCATAATTTTCTTTGTCAAGGAACATTCGAGAGAATACCGAACATCATGGTTACAAGGGCTGGTTTGATGGGGATACGAAGCCGACTCGCAGTACTTTTCTCGGTTGTGCTATCTCTATGTACCTCTTTTGGCCAGGTAGGAAACTTTTGACCGGTTTGTCAGTCATGGGTTGTATTACTGATCAGTCCGATAATACAGGACTAGTGAAGGCCCAGTGCAATAATCTAATTACTTTTGTTTAAACTAAATGTATTTCGGTGTTTACCAGCATTTTTTTTTTACTTGAGCTTGATAATAATCTGTACAAAACAGTTAATCTGATAATACTTGTTTGATATGTTTTCCAGTCTCTTGAAATACTTTGCAAATGCAACTTATTTCTATGTGAACTGAAATTGTCTATTTATTCATTTTCAATTTCAGAAGATGCTCTTAACCAGAGCAACTTACAGTAGTGAGTGCATACATTTTCATACTGGTCCCCTGTGTAAATCTAACCCACAACCCTAGCATTGCAAGCACCATGCTCTACCAACTGAGCCACATCATCACAAACCACTTGATGTCTCACTGTACTCAATTACTGTATTGTGCATTGGTTTTCTTCATGGTGATGGAAAGTTTAAAGGTACAAACCTAGATGACCAGCCTATGTACAATACAGTAATTTACATTGTTGTTTGTAAGGATGGTGATTTAATACTGCACAAAAAGTGGTTGTTTTCTATGTTATTTGATCAAGAAAAATATTTAATTTGATGTGGATGTTTTGTGTCTTTGCCCATAACTTTGCACCTTTTGATGTAAATGTTTGAGGACAGGGTTTTGTTCTTTCTGGATTCCATTATAATGACAATCGCAGAGAAAGGGACAGGGCAACAACTCTTACAATTCCAACTATTGAATCCTGCAAGTTACTCTTCTTAATTATACTAGTACCTTTTTTGGGAAAGCAGAGATGGTCCAAAATATTTTTGCCTGCACTACAGATGTATATCTGTCCGCTGATACTAGTAAAGGCCCAGTGCACTACTTTTTGTGAATACATTTTTTTTGGTATTAATATTTGTATCAGTATTCTGATTTCTCATAGGGTGCTGTAGCACCCTCAGCATCCCTACTTCTCGTGGCTATGCTGTATAGGCTCAAGTGTGAAGTCTCCTATACAGTCTGCAGAATTCTACACAGCTTTGCAAGATGTAGGCAACCTATTTTGTATACTGCAAGAGGGATAGCAGTATAATTATTTTGGGTGCGATAAAGTTATGGTGCAATAGCTGTTATCTCTGTAACCAACACTGCAATAGACTTGTGCTGCTAGTTTGCACTGACAGGCTGTTGCAAAGCTAAGTGACCAAAACAATCCAACATAACCTCTTGCACCTCTACATTTAGTAATCCGTCCTGTGTTTTCAGAGTATAATATAAATAAGAGCGTCTGCTAAATGACGTAAATATAATAGCAGATAAGTTAACTTGCTGAATTGGTGGCATACAGTATGTGAACAAGAGTAACACTTGTTCTGAAGGATCATGTCACTTGACATTACAGTTAATGATTAGTGAACTTAGATGGCACAGAGAATTATTTTACTGACACACCCTGTTGATCTTGTTCTGTCACTGTCACATGCTGTCTTTTTTATAATGGCCTCTCTCAGCAGTTCTTGTTGGCTAAAATCCAAGCTTCTTCCAAGAGGGAACTTGGAGGTTCGCTTTCTGCTCACTCAGTTTCACCTGGCCTAACCTGGCTAGTGGCTACTTCTGCCAAGCAATGAGCCAAATTAAGTCTCTCTTTCTCTCTCCCAGATTGACCCCCTGGTCTATGATGAGCAGTTGCTGTGGGTGAGTGGCGGGGCGGGGCAGGTGAGCACTTACCGGATCCCCCTGCTCTCCTTCACCACCAAGGGCAGTCTGCTGGCCTTCTCTGAGGCCCGGAAGAAGTCCGCCAGCGACGTGGGGGCCAAGTTCCTTGCCATGCGACGCTCCACAGACAGAGGTAGGCAGGGCGAGCAGACAGACAGACATTGTAATGCAGGGATGGGCAACGTTGATGGGGTTGGCAGCCCACCCAAAAATGTAACTCATCGTGAGGGGCCACAGTGGCTCCCAGGTCTGCGTACCCACATCCATTCTCACACATGTAGTCAGCTAACCTTTTGACAGCAATTTTTTTTTTGCCATGGGGCGTAGAGAAAATGTTGCAGTTTTAAAGCAAGTTTGCTGCAATTCTACACATTTTACCATGGAGCGGAGAGAAAAATGTGCAGTTTTACAGCTAATTTCATGCAACTGTACACATTTTGCCATGGGGAGGGGACAAATGTTTGCAGTTTTTAATATGCTATCTGATGATCAATGGGGCCCCACCCTCGGTCGGTAATTCTACCATGATTACTAGAAGTTTAGATAGCTGGCTGCTAGACTAATTTACCAATCTAAAAATTTTTAGCTGACATGGGCTAATTGAGTGACTGAGATAACAAGAGAAAAACAACCACATTTGGAAATTGCAGGTTGTGTATTCTACTATTCTAACTCTCAACAGTAAGTTGAGACCCCAACTGGGGGGGGGGGGGGGGGGGGGGGGGGGGGGGGGCACTTTTTATACAAAGAAATTGGCATCGATGGGTTAGCTGACAATGTCACAAACTATGCACACGCTTCAATGGGGTACGTCTTGTTTTGAGGTGTTTTTACCGATTTTCATGTCAATGCTAATATGGCTAAAATCCGCTAGCTAGCTAAGCAACAACTATAACGATGCATTTGAGACAATAAGTGCTCATTGTGCAAATGTATTTATGTTTTCAAAAAACATTGGAGACGAAATATTGTTTACATGTTGTCAACAATCTATGCCAACCCGCCCTGTTTTGCCCAATAGTTGCTCACGTTGAAAAACGGGGAGCGGTTTGGTTGTGGTTGAAAATGCACCGTTGCCCTTACTCTTTTGATAATGCTTACAAATTGGATCATAACTCGAAAAGTAGCAGAGATCCCACTCTGTAAATTTGATATGCCTGTAGAGTATATTATGTTCAACAATATATTGAACATTTTGCATTACATTACATTTACATTACATTTACATTTCAGTCATTTAGCATTTTGCCAAATCAAACAATCTATATTTTTCAATATTCATAAATTAATGTACAAAAAAAACGTTTAAAAATCAAAATATATTACAGAGCGAGCGGTAAAGCTTCATATGACACCACTGTTTGCTTTGTAGCACCTACAGAAGAAACACTATGGAGTCTTAAAGGAGGCCTGGGTAAGGTCAAAATGACATAAATATGCCAACTTTGATTCATTATTTATCAATTATGCTTTTAGATACACATGTCAAATATGTCAACAATCCTTCCTCAAAAGGACTATTCTATGGATTACAATTCGTGAAAATCCCCAAAATCATGTTTTGTTTTTTTTGTCTGGGTTTTGTGAGGAATCACTCAAGGAAATTCCAGAGGAACAAAAAGGAGAGCAGTAGCAGATAAAATAAATCAAAAATCAATCTTGTTTATCAAGTTGCAACAGGAAGACACCTCCAGCACAGCAGAGAAAATGTCTAACTGGCCTTCTCTGATCAGGCTCTTCTATCTTAAAGGCCCAGTGCAGTCAAAAACGTGATTTTCCTGTGTTTTATATATATTTCCACACTGATGTTGGAATAATATTGTGAAAATTATGATAATGCCCTTTCAGTGTAAGAGCTGTTTTGATATTGAGATAAAAAGGGCTACATTGGACCTTTAATCAGAAAGCTGCAAATGTTCTCTTAAAGGTCCAGTGCAGCTGTTTTTATTTCTGGGTAACAATTAAGTACCTTACTGTGATTGTTTTCAATTAAAATGGTCAAAAAGCTAGATTCTAAGCAAAAAGCAATTTCTCAAGCAAGAATTTTGCTAGGACTGTCTGGGGGTGGTCTGAGTGGGGAGGGGAAAACTACCCGTTTTTGAGGGGATTTGATTGATCTGGCCCAGGCGCCCGGATAGGCGTATTTTGCACAGGGTAAAAGTTGATTGCATTAGTTTTGGAACCCGGCTGCCTCCAGTCTGGCATCAATCACTATCAACAGATATGAGAATAATCCATAACAAGTCTAGTGACCATCAACCCGCACCTTGAGTGTCACAAATGGAACAATGGAAATTGTGTATTACAGAAACTCCAAATATGCTAAACATTGTGTTCACTCTAAATTAAATATGAACTTTAGTCATCTTATATATTCCCATTTAAGACAGACAGATAGACAGGACAGAGAAACACACAGACACTTGTACACATATTTGAATTTACTTTGCTTTTTATCAGTGCATCTTCACTCCAGTGCATTTAATTTACACCATATGACTAATACTTTCCTCCTCCCTCTCGCTCTCTCTCTCTCTCCCCTCTCCCTCCTCTCCTCCACCCTAGGTGCCACGTGGTCTCCCACCACTTTCATAGTGGACGATGGCATCCTGGCTGACGGGCTGAACCTTGGTTCAGTGGTGGTGGATGAGGAGACTGGCTCTGTGCTGCTGATCTACTCTCTGTGCTTCCACCAGTACCAGTGTGATCCCGCCAGTATAATGCTGGTGGAGAGCATGGACGACGGACTCAGCTGGACCCCACCAAGGAACCTCTCGGTCCAGCTGGGGGTCAAGAACTTCGTCCCTGGGCCCGGCTTCGGCATTCAGGTGGGTCACCATCATCCATGGCTTTCATACTTCTCTTCATCTCCCCTTATCCCTCTCTCTCTCGCTCTTAGAGACAATTTATATAATTAATTTAATTAATACATAAACACTGAACAAAAAATATAAACACAACATGTAAAGTGTTGGTCCCATGTTTCATGAGCTGAAATAAAAGATCCCAGAAATGTTCCGTACGCACAAAAAGCTTATTTCTCTCAAATTATGTGCACAAATTTGTTTACATCCCTGTTAGTGATAATTTCTCCTTTGCCAAGATAATCCATCCTCCTGACAGGTGTGGCATATCAAGAAGCTGATCATTACACAGGTGCACTTTGTGCTGGGGACAATAAAATGTGGTCCTCTGTAGCTCAGCTGGTAGAGCACGGCGCTTGTAACGCCAAGGTAGTGGGTTCGATCCCCGGGACCACCCATACACAAAAAAAAAAAAATATGCACGCATGACTGTAAGTCGCTTTGTATAAAAGCGTCTGCTAAATGGCATATTATATTATTATTATATAAAAGGCCACTCTAAAATGTGCAGCTTTGTCACACAACACAATGCCACAGATGTCTCAAGTTTTGAGGGAGCGTGCAATTGGCATGCTGACTGCAGGAATGTCCACCAGAGCTGTTGCCAGATAATTTAATGTTAATTTCTCTACCATAAGCCGCCTCCAACATCATTTTAGAGAATTTGGCAGTACGTCCAACCGGCCTTACAACCGCAGACCACGTGAAACCACGCCAGCCCAGGACCTCCACATCCGGCTTCTTTACCGGTGGGATCGTCTGAGACCAGCCACCCAGACAGCTGATGAAACTGTAGGTTTGCACAACCAAAGAATTTCTGCACAAACTGTCAGAAACCGTCTAAGGGAAGCTCATCTGCGTGCTCGGTATCCTCACCAGGGTCTTGACCTGACTGCAGTTTGGCGTCGTAACCGACTTCAGTGGGCAAATGCTCAACTTCGATGGCCACTGGCACACTGGAGAAGTGTGCTCTTCACAGATTAATCCCGGTTTTAACTGTACCGGGCAGATGGCAGACAGCGTGTGTGGGTGAGCGGTTTGCTGATATCAACATTGTGAACAGAGTGCCCCATGGTGGGGTTATGGTATGGGCAGGCATAAGCTATGGACAATGAACACAATTGCATTTTATTGATAGCAATTTGAATGCACAGAGATACCGTGACGAGATCCTGAGGCCCATTGTCGTGCCATTCAACCGCCGCCATCACCTCATGTTTCAGCATGATAATGCATGGCTCCATGTCGCAAGGATCTTCTGTACACGAGTACTGGAAGCTGAAAATGTCCCAGTTCTTCCATGGCCTGCATATTCACCAGACGATGTCACTCATTGAGCATGTTTGGGATGCTCTGCATCGACGTATACGCCAGCATTTTCCAGTTCCTCCCAATATCCAGCATGAGGCAAATGGTGGTCACACCAGATACTGACTGGTTATCTGATCCACGCCCCTACCTTTTTTTTAAAGGTATGTGACCAACAGATGCATATCTGTATTCCCAGTCATGTGAAATCCATAGATTAGTGCCTAATTAATTTATTTCAATTGACTGATTTCCTTATATGAACTGTAACTCAGTAAAATCTTTGAAATTGTTGCATGTTGTGTTTATATTTTTATTCAGTGTAATTTCCCCCTCTTTATTTGCCTTCTCTTCCTTCATATGACGAGAGCTCCTTATATTTCCTTCCTTGTGATACCATTGCTGACGTAGCCTACTTTTGTGTTGTCAATTATGAGGCCAATATCTATCATCCATAACCCTAACCCTTATATTGTGTGTAATAAACCTTAGTAATAAATGTTGGGGTCATTGCACCAAGGTCGGTTGTTTTGATTGAACTGTTGTGCTTTGATAGAGTACACTATTTTGACTGTCTCTCCATGTCTCCACTCACAGAAGCACTACCCTCCTGCTAAGGGGCGTCTGGTGGTGTGTGGACACGGCACCCTGGAGGGTGACGGGGTCTTCTGCATTCTGAGTGACGACCACGGACGAAACTGGAAGAATGGCGCCGCGCTGAAGAGCATCCCCTACAACCAGCCCAAACAAGCCCTGGACTTCAACCCAGATGAGTGCCAGGTAAAGCTAACCAGGGAGGGAGTGGGCAGGAAGGACTGGAAAGGATGTCACACAGTACAATAGCCATATAGTTATTAGGCTGAGGAGGCTGGTGGGAGGAGCTATAGGATGGGCTCATTGTAATGGCTGAAATTGAATAAATGGAATGGTATCAAACTTATGGAAACCACATGTTTGACTAACTGTTCCATTAACTCCATTCCAGCCATTACAATGAGCCTGTCCTCCTATAGGTCCTCCCACCAGCCTCCTCTGCTATTAGGCAACCCACTAGTTTTACTAGTCTGGTACTAGTTTCATAGTCAGATGCTTTTGTTCTGGTTTTATGCAGTAGTGCTGTATACTGATTACAATGCAGTTCCTCAACTTTTTTTGTATCAGGGACTGGAAAGCTATAGTAGGTAGTCCTTGTAGGACAATTTAAATGGATTAATCTGAGTAACAACCGTCAGTATCCCTTGATAAAGCCCATGATCAGGCTCACCTCAGTTCCTCAATCAAACTCCTCTCTGCCTCTTTCCCTCCTCTGTAGCCTGTAGAGATGGAGGACGGCAGCATCGTCATCAACGTGCGCAACCAGAACAACTACCACTGCCACTGCCGCATGGTGGTGCGCAGCCTGGACGGGGGCGAGACTCTACCCATGGAGCAACTGTTGTTTGACTCCACCCTGATAGACCCTGTGGTAGCGGCAGGGGCACTGCAGAAGGAGGGCGTGATGTACTTCACCAACCCAGCTGACAGTACTCATAGTAAGGACTATGGGAAAGGGATGGGGATGGGGCCCTCTGGTGGACTAAGTGGGTGGGACAGGGGGATAGTGGTGAGTCATTTTTTAAAACATCCACTCTCAAACTTCCTGTCCCTCTCGCTTTCTTTCCCTCCCTCTCTGTCTCTCTCCTTCCTTTCTTCCAGGGGTCAACCTAACCCTGCGCTGGTCTCTGACCAATGGCACATCGTGGGAGAAGAAGGCCGTCCAGATCTGGGCGGGGCCAAGCGGCTACTCCTGCATGACATCACTTACGAACGGCGGCGCGGAGGACAGGAAGTTCATCTTCGTCATCTACGAGAAAGGCCACAAGGACTACTATGAGACCATCTCCTTTGCCAAGATCCACCTCTACGGTGGACGGTAGTAGAGTAAGGCTGGGGGGGGTGGGGACTAGGTAGAGTCTGCCTCTAACCACTGGTCCATGGTCAGGGTCCGTATTCGCAAAGTCTCTCGGAGTGCTGAACTAGGATACAATTAGCCTTTTAGATCATAATGAATTAAATTATATAGACGGGGGGACCTGATCCTAGATCAGCACTCCTATTCTGAGATGCTTTTTGAATATGGGCCCAGATATCTTTATCCACTTAATAATAGTTATGGTTAGGATGGTGGTTGGGGAATTTTATCTGTGGTTAGGGGCAGGTTCTACCTCCAGCTGGCAGGGAAAGGGAACAGGAAGAGGATGTTGAACATTCTTTCAGGAAGGAAGGAGGACACATGGGACTTTGCAGCACCACTTTGTTTTGATAGGTGGAGGGGGACATGGAGAAATACAAACTACTGCTGTTGTATGGCACCAAGAATGACAGTTTTGTGCCACTTTATCCTAAGGTGGTCTTTTAAATACATAATGATTGTATTCATTAGGGCAAAACATAGCAATAACCTTTTGCAACGGAAAACGAAAATGAGCTTTTCTTATTGGACAGGTTCAGGTAGTCCCTCCCTGTTTTAGTCTGTTTTCCTCCATTTGGTGCCTAATGTACATTTATTAGTATGGCCCAATCACAGGTGTCCCGTCCTTTACTGAAGCTATGATAGTCTGTAATGATTGGTGTTATGTTGGTGTACGCTTCCTGTCTGAGGCTCCCATAGCTGAGAGAGGAGGAAGTCTCCCACCCACCTCTTTTATTTGATGATGTAGGGAAGGAAAAGGTTTGGGGTGGGGGTATGCTTCTCCAAGCCATACAAATATTGGGACAGACTTACTAAGTGTTTGCAACTATGCTATTTCCATAGGGCAAAAAACTATATTTCCAGAGGGCAAAAAACTTGAACAATGAGTAAAAATACAGATTTAGAGGAGGACTTTTTAACGCCTAGTAAATCTAGCTCCCAGGCATCCCAGCCCATAACAGAATGGTTTCACTTTCAGAATGTCAAGGCATTATAAGTTTTCCTTTTTTGAAGGGAGAATGGTTCTTGCCAACTTTTGGCATGAGAGAAGTCTGTATGATGAGACAATAGTTTGTGAGTGAATGGACCCGTAAATGATTTACTTGTGTCAGAATAGGACATGCACAGTTTGAATCCCTATTTTTTTTTTTTAGGCATGGAGCCAGGGATCTGTAATTTAAATCCCCCTTGTTGTGCTATCAGTTGAAAGTTTAATTATTAATTGTGATTGTGTCACAAATCCCTCAACTCAGTACCTGGCACTCCCCTTGTTGGTGAAACAATGCAACAATTTACCTCAGATTTCTATAGCATATTTGATCAGTCTCTTATAGCTAGCACACTCCTCTCCACAGCAGTTGTAGTTATTTCTCTCAGCTCACCTCGCTGAACCTAGCTGTGAAGCCGACATACTGGTATGCAATAGATTCCTTGTTTAGTGGTAAGACACTGGTAAATACACTGCATCTGGTCAAATGCACACAAGGATTTGATTGGTAGTTAATTGAAAAGGATTTTGATGAGAAACTGTTGCCTTGTATTGAAGAATCTGGATGCATTGCCACTCATTGATGTTTCAAGTTTAATTGCCATATATTCTTCTCATACTGTAAGACAAGATATCTTACAGTGTATTATCCTTCCTTTCCTGAAAGTGTGTAACTTTAATAGAATGGCTTCAATCCATTTTTTAAGCTAAGATTTGTGATTTTAACATTTCAGATACGTTTTTCTGATCAAGAAATTGAATTCCAATATAAATAGCGATAAAGGGAGGTGTGAGTGATGTGTGTCTGAGTATAAATATGATATTCTGTATGTACGTTTGGATATTGTACTGATATTTTTTAAATTAGTGGAAAAGGATCAGAGCTGGGCTGCCTGTGTAAAAGTAGCCATTGAACTACAGTATGAGGAAACGTACTGTTGTAAAATCGTTCCAGATCTTTACATTTTATTAAGCCTCTTGTAATGTTTTGGGATATCCTCTGGTCTGTAGATGATGTACTGTATTCTGTACTTTCCTGAAAAGAGTGGAATGAATAAATGTTCAGATTTTTTTTTACAGTTTGCCAACTCGTGTTTCATGTTGTGTGTGTGTGTGAGCACTCGCTTCAAATGGAGCTTTTGGAGCAAAGAAATCGGTACACGCTGAACACAGTTTACAATGTAAGACAGATGTAAGATAAGGTTATAAAAGAGAATACTGCAAATATTTTATGTATGTCACACTCATAGAAGTAATATAACATACATACAGTTGAAGTCGGAAGTTTACATACACCTTAGCCAAATACATTTAAACTCAGTTTTTCACAATTCCTGACATTTAATCCTAGTAAAAATTCCCTGTCTTAGGTCAGTTAGGATCACCACTTTTATTTTAAGAATGTGAAGTGTCAGAATAATAGTAGAGAATTATTTCTTTCAGCTTTAATTTCTTTCATCACATTCCCAGTGGGTCAGAAGTTTACATACACTCAATTAGTATTTGGTAGCATTGCCTTTCATTTGTTTAACTTGGGTCAAACGTTTCGAGTAGCCTTCCACAAGCTTCCCACAATAAGTTGGGTGAATTTTGGCCCATTCCTCCTGACAGAGCTGGTGTAACTGAGTCAGGTTTGTAGGCCTCCTTGCTTGCACATGCTTTTTCAGTTCTGCTCACACATTTTCTATAGGATTGAGGTCAGGGCATTGTGATGGCAACTCCAATACCTTGACTTTGTTGTCCTTAAACCATTTTGCCACAACTTTGGAAGTATGCTTGGGGTCATTGTCCATTTGGAAGACCCATTTGCGACCAAGCTTTAACTTCCTGACTGATGTCTTGAGATGTTGCTTCAATATATCCACATAATTTTCCTTCCTCATGGTGCCATCTATTTGGTGAAGTGCACCAGTCTCTCCTGCAGCAAAGCACCCCAACAGCATGATGCTGCCACCCCTGTGCTTCACGGTTGGGATGATGTTCTTCGGCTTGCAAGCACCCCCTTTTTCCTCCAAATATAACGATGGTCATTATGGCCAAACAGTTCTATTTTTGTTTCATCAGACCAGAGGACATTTCTCCAAAAAGTACGATCTTTGTCCCCATGTGCAGTTGCAAACCGTAGTCTGGCTTTTTAATGGCGGTTTTGGAGCAGTAGCTTCTTCCTTGCTGAGCGGCCTTTCGGGTTATGTCGATATAGGACTCGTTTTACTGTGGATATAGATACTTTTGTACCTGTTTCCTCCATGTAAACTTCTGACCAACTGGAATTGTGATACAGTGAATTATAAGTGAAATAATCTGTCTGTAAACAATTGTTGGAAAAATTACTTGTGTCATGCACAAAGTAGATGTCCTAACTGACTTGCCAAAACTATAGTTTGTTAACAAGAAATTTGTGGAGTGGTTGAAAAACTGATGACTCCAACCTAAGTGTATGTAAACTTCCGACTTACACTAGTATTGTAAAAATATATAAAGTTTATTTACCTAACAAGCACAAATGAATACACGTTACCTGCATTACTTTTTCCTCGCTCTTGCTCTCAACCTCTCTCTCCTCCACTCACCTTTTCTCCAGTTCCATTTCCCCACAGCCAGAACCCCCAGAGATGGCTCTGCCTCAGCCCCAGCCCAACCCATACCTAGTCCGAGAAAGTTCTGGACTTTCTCCGTGGGATAGAGGGCCTCAGCGTTGGAGTGAAAAGAAGCCAGGTGAGAGTGTGGATGCCCAATACTGACGCAGTGCTTTTTTATTTTTAGGGGGTAGATCAGCTTTAATATTGCAGCTAGATTGGTGTTGTGTAATTAGCTGCATCATTTCCAATCCCCCATATTTTTTTGTTGTACATTTTAAAATATATTTTCTTTATTATTTTCCCCTAACCCTACCACCCCTACCCTAATTGGAGTAAACTAATGGACAACAAAACTTAGGCTTCTACTTCCAGCTTATACATACAGTTGAAGTCGGAACACTTACAGTGGGGAGAACAAGTATTTGATACACTGCCGATTTTGCAGGTTTTCCTACTTACAAAGCATGTAGAGGTCTGTAATTTTTATCATAGGTACACTTCAACTGTGAGAGACGGAATCTAAAACAAAAATCCAGAAAATCACATTGTATGATTCTTAAGTAATTAATTTGCATTTTATTGCATTTTATTGCATGACATAAGTATTTGATACATCAGAAAAGCAGAACTTAATATTTGGTACAGAAACCGAGGGTGATTGACCGTCAACTTGAACTTCTTCCATTTTGTAATAATTGCGCCAACAGTTGTTGCCTTCTCACCAAGCTGCTTGCCTATTGTCCTGTAGCCCATCTCAGCCTTGTGCAGGTCTATAATTTTATCCCTGATGTCCTTACACAGCTCTCTGGTCTTGGCCATTGTGGAGAGGTTGGAGTCTGTTTGATTGAGTGTGTGGACAGGTGTCTTTTATACAGGTAACGAGTTCAAACAGGTGCAGTTAATACAGGTAATGAGTGGAGAACAGGAGGGCTTCTTAAAGAAAAACGAACAGGTCTGTGAGAGCCGGAATTCTTACTGGTTGGTAGGTGATCAAATACTTATGTCATGCAATAAAATGCAAATTAATTACTTAAAAATCATACAATGTGATTTTCTGGATTTTTGGATTCTGTCTCTCACAGTTGAAGTGTAACTATGATAAAAATTACAGACCTCTACATGCTTTGTAAGTAGGAAAACCTGCAAAATCGGCAGTGTATCAAATACTTGTTCTCCCCACTGTAGGTTGGAGTCATTAAAACTTGTTTTTCAACCATTCCACAAATGTCTTGTTAACAAACTATAGTTTTGGCAAGTTGGTTAGGACATCTACTTTGTGCATGACACAAGTACTTTATCCAACAATTGTTTACAGACAGATGATTTCACTTATAATTCACTGTATCACAATTCCAGTGGGTCAGAAGTTTACATACACTAAGTTGACTGTGCCTTTAA